AAGAAAAGAAAAGAAAAGAAAAGAAAAGAAAAGAAAAGAAAAGAAAAGAAAAGAAAAGAAAAGAAAAGAAAAGAAAAGAAAAGAAAAGAAAAGAAGGAAAAACTGTGTTTGCAGGAGGAGAGGGAGGAAGAGGGTGACCAGTAGATTTGGACATCATTGAAATAATGTATAAAATTTGGCATAACCTTAACTCGGTTTTCACTTCTTCACAGGACCAAGTCTGAAGTACTTGGTTTGGAATACTGTAGTTGTGAAATACTTTCACTGATTTTCTGGTATTTGTAGGCCTGCTGCTCTCTAAATKAATCAGGGTAACACGAGGGAAAGTCACGTGGACTGATAAAGCTTTCAGCTACTTAATTGATTGCTTCTTGCTTTTACAAGGGAGTAATGCCCCCTGTGGCAGTGTGTGATCAGACACCCGATTTTATATGTAATTTTTATGTAGAGTTGGTCKGTGACTCTTTATTCTGTCTCCCCTTTCTGGCCTCCCTTGTAGATAATTGCTGTCATGATGAAGTCTGAGGTGTGAGAAATAAGGCTGATGAGAGAAATCACTTCCCCACAGAGGTTACAAAATCCCTTCTATTATGCAGCAACTTCAGCTTGTGCCACTTCCATAACTGCTGTAGCCAGCATTTTCCTCAGATGATTTCCCATTTATCCCATTAAAAGCACTAGAGGTTATCCCATGTTAACATTCCCCAGCCACATTCTTTGTAGTTCTTGTTCAAGTTCTTCTCTTCCCTGTTTTTGTGCCATAGCTTGGCTCAAACAGCTCTCAAATGTTTTGAGTTCCCATGGAAGCTTCTCCTCTGTGTTGACATCCTTGCCTGCCTTGTTTAGACATGCAGAGTCACATATTTGGTGACTCCTCAGCCCTGAATTTGGGACTGGAAAATTCTGATTTGATTTGGGTAGAAGTGTGGAAATCTGGTGCTCGGAAAAGGAAGCTGGGGTGAAGAAAATAGGAATAGTGCAGGGTTTTCCTTAAAGTTTGAACCTTTAAAAGTGCGGGAAAGTTGGTGGGAGAATGCTTCCATGCATTTCCAGAATTTCTTCAAGGGGTTAAGGGACCTGTGGGTGCAGTTATCACCAAAACCAGGCATAATCAGCTCTACCAGGGTGTGACGTGGTGTGACAGAAAGGAGATTCTATCACTTTCCATTCAGCAAGTCTGTGCTGCAWACCCTGAGTCACACGCTGCTGCTTTTTGGGGGGCAGCAGATAAGATTTGAGATTTGTTGTTGTGAAAGATCACCTTTCATCACATGAACTGCAAGGATTCCATTCTGCTGCTTAAAACTTGGGGAGTACACCCAGAGAATGGGTTACCAGAACCAAAAATTAGGGTTACCAGCAGCTCTGGGCCATAATAGCTGCTCCACAAAAACCCAATTCATCAGATCCYTAACCACMTGAAGCTTTTCTAGGCCAGCCTTCRGGACAGGGRACAAAAGGCAGYGAAGAATTTCCRTGGAAAGCAAAATATCTTACCCACAGCRCCACTTCAGCTGAACAATCCCACRCYCAAAGTCCTCAGCAGAACATCAGGACCCCCAAAATTCCTTACCATGGCATTCCTTCCAACCTGATGCTGTAAACTCCCTGGATTAGCTCAGATCATGCTAGGAATGAGGAATGAATAGAGAACATTCCTCTAAGGAGTTGCACCACATGAAAGAATAAGAAAAGAAAAAGAAGGAACAGGAACTACAGTCTGGAAATAATAACTTACAGATACAACTTGCATTCTTCTGTATATTGCATTTTTATGACCAATTAATTTTGTTTATTTCTTATGTATAATATTTTTTATTTATATTTTAATTTATGTTTTACTCTGAGTTTGCTCAGCTTAATTTGTTGCTTCTATTTTTTTTTTTTTTTGCCTTTTTCCTCAAGATGTGGGTGAGGTTCCAAGCCTGGCAGTATTTAAGAAGCATTTGGACATTGACAGAGGCTTAAACTTTTGGTCAGCCCTGAAGTGGTCAGGCATGATATTTGTAGCAGTCTAAATTGCTAAATTATCTAAGTGATTAAATTATAGTCCCTTCCAAACCTCTCAAATATTCTATTGTATTTCTTTCTATCTATTACCTCTAGGAGAGAGGAAATTCCTGCTTGTACATTTATAAAGGTGCTTGACCCCCTCATGTCTTTGGTGTCACTRTCTAATTAATGTTTCCCACAGAAACTGCCATGCAGACATSCAGAAAGGGAAYTAATGGAGTTCCTTTGGCAGTCAGMAAAKMTATTAAAAACTTAGGTTCAGTTTRGAAAAATCAGATTTTAATCTGCTCAAAAGAGCCATTTTGCTTTGTCGCAAATATTTCTTTTTTTCTATTCAGGCTTGATGATGCATCTATCAAGACAAAAGTTCCAGAAAGGACCATCATGCAGGTTTGCTACACTGCAAGAAAAGGAAGACTGGATTACAGGAGCATAAAAGAGTGGGATGTGTGAGGGAACAAGTGAATATCAGGCAGTTATCACGTCATAACTCGATGCTTATCTCCTTAGCAGCTGACATTTTCATTGTGAAAAGACAGGTTGCAAAACCGATTAGCGCTGCTTCATGTGGGTGAAAAACCAAGGAGCTGGAGCCTTGATGATGCAGGAGTGCTGCAGATGACTGAAGGGCTTGTTCCCAAATGGACTGTCCCGTTGTAAGGACCTGATGCCACGGTGGAGCTGGGTGCTGTTATCAGCATTTCCATCACAGTGAACAGTGTCAGCAGCATCCTCCMTGTGACAGGCGGCTCCCTCTCTCASCAGGTTACCTGGTTCATCCTGAGGGAATTAAAGCTCCATTTATCTGAAGTCTTGACATAAATCCATGTAAGGTCTTAAAACTTYGCCACCATTCTGGGTGCTTGAGGGCAGTTGTGCAAAAATCTAAAGCTCCAGCTAAGCTCTGGCTTGGCTCCTGAAATCCTCAGCTGGACCTGGCCTGGAACACTTCCAGGGATGGGGCAGCCACAGCTCCTCTGGACACCCTGTGCCAGGGCCTGAGCATCCTTACAGGGAAGGATTTATTCCCAATATCCCATCTAACCCTGCTCTCTGTCAGTTTGAAGCCATTCCTCCTTGTCCTGGTGCTCCAGGCCCTTGTCCGAAGTCCAGCTCTGTTAAGCCTCTTTAGGTACTGGAATTGTGCACAGAAATTGGGGTGTTTGGGGTCATTTTGTGTGCTACATACACTAAAAACCCTTTAGGGAGAAAGATTTTCCYTGAACCAGTGGCAGCTACTTAACTTTTTGCAGGATTTTAGGGTCAGAGAAAGGTTGGGCTGATGATGTTAGAGGTTGGACTTGATGATCTTGGAGGACTTTCCCCACCTTAATTCCATAAAGCAGCTAAGGAGGTGTGAACACAGGACAAGGAGGGGGTGGATTGTTCCTCCTTTTCTGCTGATTRTTCAATATTGAGTTTCCAGTGTAAGAGGGGAAGCTAAAAGGAACAAGTTGTGGTGCATTCCTGAASGTGTGTGCTGGTGTCTTGCAGATGGCTTATCTCAAATGTTATGAAAACACTCTAAAAAGCACAAAAGGCCTAAAGGGATGGCAAAACCCAGGATTTAGAAAAAAAATGCTGACTGTGACAGGGGAGAACCAAAGAAACAGGTTAATGATAAAAATTAAACTTCTTGTTAAGGCAGCTCTGACTCTGGGAGCTGGCTGAGAAATCAACTTTAGGACCGTCACACCTAAGGAGAAGAGCCAGAAATATTGTGTAAACAACTTAATTGATAGAACTAGATGAGATTTCTCCTGGTTGTTTTGCACCAACATTCCTGYTGGAAATCTAGACTGCAGAATCATTATCAAATGAGAGTTTTATCAGCACAAGCAGACTCAAGAGCAAACAAGCACTGAGGAGAAAAAAGGCAAGTAGATGCGTGAGAAGTGTTRTAAATTTAAAGGAATTAATTCAAATTAATTGATCATCAAAAGACAGTAACTCTGATAAATTAATTGATGTACTTTGAAAACCCTGTCCTAATTGTGGGCTCCTCCATCTGGCTTCTTGATGATGTGGGTTTTAACAGGTGGTTTTCTATGGAATAAAGAAATCATCCAGTCAACCACAGTTTTGAATTTTCAAGATTGGGTCTCTTTTGACAGGAAAATAYTATGTGGATGTTGTGACTGTTTAGTAAGAAAGGAGCAGCATCATCAAGTGCTGTTCAACAATTAAYACTCATTTCCTGGAGTCCCTAAGTCTAATTAATGATTTTACAAAAATGCAGGGGGGAAGTGGGAGGTGAAGAAACAGCACTTTGACAACTTGCCATCAGAAGCTGATACCATATTCCATGTGTGCCATTCCAGGTTTATCCCAGGCAGCAGCAGCATCCAGGGGAGACCTTCGAGGATGATTCCAGCCAAGGACCCTGTGAGAGCTCCCTGCTTGTTGCAGGTGCTGGAGAACTGGACATAGAGAAACACAAATTCTAAACATAATACTGAGTTTACTGGAGATTGGCGTGRTTTGGTTGTTGGGKTTTTTTTCAGCAGGGCATAAGAATGTGCTGAATTCACGTTTCATCCAAGGGGTTCATGGATTTATACACTCTGCAGATGTGTATTTTTAAGGGAAGTTTTCCCTGTCCCAGCCTGTCCTGGGGACAGAATGAACTTGCTGAAAACCCCCTTAAGCGGTACCTGCGGGTAGTGGGGGGCTTTGGGTCCTTGGTTCGCACAACCGGGGCAGGAAAGGGGCAGTTTTGGGGGGCAAACCCAAGCCCGAGGCGCTGGAGCGGGTGGAGGAGGCGGGGACCGGGAAGAGGGGCAGGTCCCTCCCTTAAATGCCGCTGCAGAGAGGGATGCGCGGCTGGAGGGAGGAGGGCAGGAGACAGGATGGCACCTCCGGGGGGTGACGGGGAGGTGCAGGATGGGGACAGAGATGGGGACAGGGATGGGGACAGGGACCGGGCCCCCGCGGCGGGGCTGCGGCTCCTCACCTGGGAGGAGATCGGGCAGCGGAACGGGCGGGGGCCGGCGCCGCAGGAGCGCTGGCTGGTGATCGACAGGAAGGTGTACGACATCAGCCAATTCTACCGGAGACACCCGGGAGGGGCYCGGCTCCTCGTCAGCCACGCCGGCCAGGACGCCACGGTGAGCGCGGGGGATGCGGGATGCGCCCGAGGAGGGGACCCGGCAAAGGTCGGGAAGCGCTTGGGAGGCGATCTCGGTGGGGCTCGGAGTACGGGACACGGTCGGGAGTGCCTCGCCAGCCCCGTGCAGTGGGAAAGGGCAATTGAGGAGACGCAGCCTAAGGGAATGCGATCAGAGGTGTTGTTCCAGCCAAGTCCGAGCAGCAGCTGGAGCGAGGCCAGAGGAGCACATGGGGAGGATGGAGCAYCTCTGCTAGCTGGGAATGCTCASYCTGGAGAAGAGAAGGCTCCAGGAAGACCTCAGAGCCCCTTCCAGTCCCTAAAGGGCTCCAGGAGAGCTGGAAGGGGACTTTGGACAAGGGCCTGGAGGGACAGGACAAARGGGAATAGCTTTAAACTAGAAGAGRGGYGATTTAGWTAGGATATAAAGAAGAAATTTTGRTGATGRRGGTGGTRAAACACTGGCAYAGGTCTCCCAGAGATGCTCCATACCTGGAAGCACTCCAGGTCGTGTTGAATGGAGCATCCTGATCTAGTTGGAGATGTCCTTGCTCATTGCAGGGGAGTTGGACAAGATGAGTTTTAAAGGTCCCWTCCAATCTAAACCATTCTGTGATTCTTAAGTCTTCAGGATTCCTCTTATCTCCTGGTCTTGTTTGTGCAATTGCCGTGAGYTGCAGCAATTTTTCCCATATATAAAGGATATTTGAGACTTGTGGAAATCAAAATAATTTTCACTCCATCAGGTTTAAATTTCAGATTCTGTATTAATTGAACTTTGCATTCTGTAACTTCCATCGCTCATTGCTCCACTTACTATTGCCAGATTTCTTTCATTTTAGTGTGCTGGAAAATCCCAGACAGTGGATGAATCAGATATTTTGTTTCCGGGATCTGAGCTGGTCCTTGTAGGTTGTTTCCACATCCAAATCATTAAGCCCTGCAGGACTTGAGCCACTTTTGTGTCCATCCATCTTGAATTAGGTCCAGTGCTTAATCTTTYTGATGTTTATTATGAAAAAATCAAGAAATTATCTTAGTTTGACTGGAAGCTTTTAACCAAGAGCAGTGAGCCATGAAAAGGAGGCACCTCAGTAGAGGATGAAAAGCACAGAAGGCTCTTAGTGAGCAAAGAAATCTGAGGAATGAAAAAAAAAAGAATATAACTAATGCCACCATTTAGTAAGGGTGACACTGCACGAAACTTTGTAGTACTTTTGACGCCACAATGGTTTTTTTCCCGATAAAATTTGGATTTCTTTTCCTTTGCTCTTGTGCCTTTGCAGGATGCCTTCGTGGCATTCCATCCTGACAAGGTGCTGGTGAACAAGTACTTGAAGCCACTGCAGATTGGGGAGCTGGCACCGGACCAGCCCAGCATTGAGCCCACTAAAAATGTGAGTTTGTCCTCATAAATCAGATCAAAGGAGATTAAAGGGAAATACTCTGAGATTACACCTTGTTCTTCTCTATCAGTAACTCCTGGARTGAGGGGATCCAGGTTCCTCACATTTTTTTGTGCTACTCTTAGAAACAATGCATGAATACGAGTCTAAATCCACATTATGAGGTTGTGAATGACATTCCTGAATGATGATTTTTTTCATATCATAGCAGCTCTACCTAAATAGGAGAGCCTTGTTTAACTCTTATTAGTAGCACAGTTACCACCTCTTCCTTCACTTCCTTTGGAAAGAGCCAACCAAAAGGAACAGGAATAATCTCAGAGAATAAATATTCTTCTTTGACAGTAGGTTCTGATTTTTCTGATTTTTAATCGTCCCCTGATAATCCTGGGAAAGGTAAAGTGAAGGCAAATACARGGAATAATTTCATCCAAAGACTTGCCACAAGGTGGCATGGGAAGCTCATGCACACAAAGTACCGCTTCCACTAGGCACAACTTCCAACTGAGCTCTCTGCTGCCTGCCAAGGATTTGATGGCACAAGCACCAAGGATTCGTTTTAAGGACTGGGATGCAGACATTGTGATGGTTGCTCC